GAGACTACATTTTTTGTTTTCTTTTCAGTTCTTTTTGTGTTGTGTTACCATGAGCATGATTAAAAGCTTTGATTGAAAATTTTGAGAAAAAAGTATCGATTGATTATACAAATAGAGACCATTGAGGAGAGACACAAATTGATTACAAGCAAATTAGTATTCTTAAATTCTTTCCTCATTAAGCAAAAATGGAAGAGGAAAAGTTGAATAGTAAACACAATTAAAAAGCCTATAAAGTAGCAAATGACTTAAAAAATTAACCCCAAGAAAAGATGAATGAAGGGCACAATAAATATAACATAGATTAGAAAAAAAATTTAAAAATCAATCAATTATCCTTTGAAGAAATCCAATAATATTTAATTTCTCAAAAATCTAATTGTCAAAAATGGAGAAACAAGTCAAAGAAATAGAAAAGAGAAAGACTATGACAGATAATAGAAGCTTAATGTAATTTGCCAAAAATAATTGTTACATTGGATATTAATAATTTAAAATACCAATGAATGCTCATTTAAAAAATCTGAAATGATCCAAAATAATTCAAGAAGTTGCTTAACCAATAATCATGAAGGAAACTGGAAGTTTTTTTTTAAAAAAATCTCCCTAAATGATTTCAAATGGCTATAGCTTGTTTTTCTCATGTTCCAAAAAATATATCATTCCATATAATCTATTTCAGAATTTAAAAAAACAATTATTTTTATAAATGAAGAATTTTCCTGATAATAAAAATGACCAAGATGGCGTACAACACACACAATCAATTGTATACAAATCATACCTATGAAGAACCCGAGTAAAATATTGCCAAATCAATATAAAAATGTATTAAGAGAATAATCCACCACAATCAGTCTCATGATGTATACTAGGATTGCAAGAATAGACCAAAACTGTTATTTTTCTATTCTATCTGTAGAGTAATTTAATAGATTTTATATAGATGTTAAAATTTTATACCTTTCTTGATTTCAAAATCTGTAGAATTATAAAAGAATAGTTAATGTCTGTTAAGATACCTATTTGAAGTACACCAACACTATCACCATAAGCAGTAACATTTAAAAGGCATTTTTAATTGTCTGGAAGAAAACACATAAGTAGCTCTCACCACTTTTATTTAACATTTCTTTAAATATTCTGGAGTATGGGCAATGTCAATAGGCAGGATGAAGTAAGAAAATATTGAAAAACAAGAAAAAGTATTTCCATAAAAATACAATTATCTACCTAAAAATGTTTAAGGATAAAATGTTTCATTCAACAAATGCTTATTGCACCTGCACTATGTTTCAATGTTATGATGAGTACTGGGAACACTACGTTTAATAGAACAACTGAACTTACAGGGCTTAAAATTTAATAGAAAAGCCTTTGGCCTACTTTCTCCTTTAAAATGCCCTGTATTACAGAGAATAGAGCATGTATCACTCTTGAGAAACTCAGGGAATCATGCTAACTGGTGTACTAAAATACGAGTTTAGGTATATAATACAGTCCTCATTAACATCATTATAGCTTCTTGGAAAGTGTGACTTATAGTGAAAGAATGTACAGCCGGTCCCCTACTGCTTGCTTAACATCATTTCATTATAATGTTGATGAAAAAAAAAAAACATGGGTTTCTTTATATGTTTCACTTAAAGTCGTAGTTTCCAGGAACCTATTAATGTAAGAACTAACTATACATCCATGCTTATCTTAATATAAACCAAATGTTTCCTAAAATTGAGTAAAATTGATGTTCCAAGAAAGACTTTGTTTAGTCCATGATTTTGTATTAACCCCTGAGAGGTTGCCAAACACTGTATTCCTATGAATAAGTGAACCCCTCCTTGAGAATTATGAATTTAATAAAATCAAGGCAGTAAGTGTTAGAAAAATAAGGAAATGTTCAAAAGTGTGTTCCAATACAAATAAAATTATTCAGCCCAAGATTTTTTAGATATCATTAATAAATAGTCAATTAAAAATAAAACAAAAAAATAGATTTACCACAGTAGTATAACATACATGAAACATCAGCAAAGTAATTTAACATAAATTAAGAATCATACATCTAGAAAAGTCTTAAGTAAATGAAAAGATAAGTTAATACTTAGGAATATACTATTATAAAGACATCCATACTTTCCAAATTAATTTGTAGAATGAATATAATTTCAAAGTGCCTCATCCCTTTTTGTAAGAATTTGAACAAATGAAACTAAATATCAAATAAAAAAACAGAAAAGATTTTTATAAGGAAAGTAATAAAATAAACTTGCCTTACCCAATATAAAAATATATTATACAGCTACACTGAACATAAAAGCATGGCACATATTTAAAAATTGACAACAGGAATATCAGATAGTTTTATATAACTGAGAAGAGACACAGGCTTTTGTCATGGTGAAACACTGTTCAATATCTGAAATAAAAATGCTAAATTTATTGCTTCAAGGAAGCTTGATGTTGGTCAATTACAGATTCCAAGTAGAGACCAATGCTAATCTTATACAGAGTTCTGGCAAGCAAGGAGTTCAGAGGTGCATAGACTTCCAGATGCATACATTAATTGATTTCATCAGTAGAATCCCAAGCAAGATGGTTGCTGATTGGTGGGCATACAAATGCACGTCTTTTGACAAAGGCATTGAGTACATCTCTGATTGGCTAACTTTTAAAATCAAGGTGTTGACACAGATTGACTGGCTTACAAAACCTGTTCACTAAAGTTGCTATTGATTAATTGAACAGCTTTAAAATTGGTTTTAGTGACTACTTGTTGCTAAGGCTACAGAACAATCAGTCTTTTCCTAATTTTGCAGAACTGTTTTATTTTGTTTCCTTTTCAGTCCTCATTCAGCCAAAGCTGCAGGAGACATTAGGATTGTTCAGATCTTCACAACAGGTATTCATTCTTCTTGCAGATAAAGCTTTGATCATTATGGACATCTGATTTTTTAGTTTGAGAGGTGATCAGCATGAATTTTATCCTGCTTTTCCTTTAATCATTTGTAGAATCATCTATCAGGAGAGTGACTGTTCAGAAGCCTCTAAGATCCTGTGCAATAGACAATAAACAACAGCAAGATAAATAAGTAGAAGCAGAAGATTTATATTTGAAAAAGAAGTGAAGAGAGAATCTATCCTAACAATTCCCTGCGCATATGTGAAACAGCCATATTGTTTTTCTTTATCTCAGCTGTAGATTGTTTTCTCATAGATAACGTTAATTCAGGTAACAATAGTGTGGATTCCTCCCTGGTTAGCCAAAAGAAAATCTATGAATATTTTAGTATCCATACATACTTGTTAATAAATTTAAACTGATGTGTTAAATTTAAACTGATCTGCAGACCTGGGCTGTACTATTATTGGCTATGTCGGCTCATATGAGGGAATACATTTTTGATGACCTCTTTGAATTGTTTAACTGGTATGAATATAGCAATCACCATAGGAGTATTTTCAAAAAAAGAAAAAATCCTACCCCTTTAGACTTTTTGTAGAGAGAGATGTATATAGTCCATTGAGGATGTTGTGTAGTCATATCTTTGGAGTGCATTGAATCTGGGATTAACAAACTGTGGTCTGCAAAGCAAACCCAGACCACAGCTAAGAATGGTTACTTTTAAAAGTTTGCAAGAAAAAGGAGGAGGAGAAGGAAGAGGAGAAAGACAAAGAAGAAGAGGAAGAGAAGAAAGGAACAAGAAGAAGAAATGACAGAGACTGTATGTGGCTCACAAAATCAAAATCATTTACTGTCTTCCCTTTAAAGAAAATGTTTACCACCTGGCCTAACTAATAGCCTTCTTAATTCGAAGGCATTTTACTTAAAGCTGGACTTAAGCAAGTCATTGTTATCAGTAAGAAGAACATGGTAGACTAAATCAGAAGTGCAATAACTTTAGTAGAGATGTATAGCCAAAACCATAACAAACAAGAGTGTGCAAAGATGAGCACGGCATAGAAGACTCTCACTCCAGTGGCCACGAGGAGAAGCTTTCTACTTCATAATAACCATCAGCTTGCTCCAAGGTTCGTATGTCACCTATCAACCTCTCAGATCATCTACCTCTGGAGAGCTCTGGACAACATTTGCTGAGGATCACTAATGGCTGTAACTTTCCAGATATGTTAAATTTCTTATCATTTTTCAGAAGATTTGGAGTCATGAAAACAGGTAGATTTCTGAGTAAGGGGCAAAGCCTGGCATAACTTAAATGCATGGATAACTGTTTCAGTTAGATGGGCCCATGTAACGGGATCAGTAAGTCGGAAAGTCTTAATTATGAAACAGGATAGCACTTTAGTCATTGTGAGTGTTGTGGTTTTTCAACAGAAGAAAATTTTTAAATGCATCCAGAAGAACAAATCTACCGTTTCAATTTCCATATGCATAATCCATGGAGGAAGGAAACCCCATGAAATCTATTTGGAGGTAACCAAAAGGTCTTTCAGGCATGAAGCTAGTCCATGCTCTACCTCCACAGCTTTTCCGGATTAACTTAGCTACAGATGTAGCAAGAACTGGCTATGTTCTGTGCTATCCTTCAAAAGTGCCCCAATCGGGGCTTAATGTTGTGGCAAGTTTGTCCCTATGTGATGTTTTGTTTCATGGAAGATTTTTTTCAAGCATATATTTGAAATTTCATTTGATGCTATCAGGTGATGATTAAAATCTAATCACTTCTAGAGCTTATCTTTGGCAGGCTATATTCTGTGAATTTATAATATGAGCCTTGAACTTCTTAAGGGACTTGTTTTTATTTTTGTTGTTGATTTACATGATGCTTTGTACAGGGTTGGCACACATAACAGCTTGTTTAGAATGATGGTTGTTATTTCTATAGCATTTTAAGAGAATTTCTATATTACGCATTTATCATTTATTTTAATAGTATGTTTAAAGTAGTTTATAAGATCTAGAATATAGTACACTAGTTTTTATAGTACCTTTTTTTCTATCTCTACTTTTTTTAAACAGCTTAAGGTTTAATTTATATGAAATTCACCTATTTTAAGTACACAATTCAATAACTTTAAGAAAATTAATTGAGGTGTACAACTATTACCATAATCTAATTTTAGAACATTTCTGATAATGGGTATCTACTCTTTGACAGCGATCATTTTAGGGTATTGTCATGGCATCTATTCACTAATGTATTCATTGTTTATTATTGAAATATACCTAAGAAATTTTTTAAAACTAGTATTTTTCCTCAGCATTTTAAATAAAGGGATTATTTTAAAATAGACCAGCTAGTAGTTTTATATTTACTCTTCTATTTTAGTAATTTCATATGCCATAGAGAGGGCTGTGCAGATCAGCCATTTGAACAAGCTGGCTTCTGGTAAGGAAAGAGATTTTAAAAGAAAACTAGACTGTTTAAAAATCAAGCCTGATATTGTCCTTTTTTATATTAAAAATGACCAATCAACAAACCACATTAAGTCAGCATTTGGTATTGGTGTATCCAAAAATTCTGCCCTGGGTATGGATACTTCTTGAATTAAGGAAGCATAATGATGGCCTCCCTTTCACTCAATAAAGGTTATGGAGTCTGGATTAACAGTGTTATACCAGTGGACATACAAGAAGACGGTAACAATAATTCATGATTCATTAATCAACTAGTAGAAAAATGTTAGGTGGTTTCCCAACTGTGGTTACTTTAGATTCGTAGGCTTAGTATAGGGTCTGAAGGTACTTTCACTAATTTAGTTGATGCCTGTATTTGTTGTTCCAAAGTGAACAGGTCTATACAAACCTACCCCCAAAGGCCAGTGTAGCTAAGAGGCTGAAGAAGGAGGCTGACAAATATAGCCTCTTAGAAAGAAAACATTTGATAGGGACTTATGAACTGAAGTTATATCTCTAGGTTCCACAACACAGTGGATCTCTGCATTCGCCCTCCAGAAAACACAAATAACCAGGTAGCAAGCTTTTAGAGTAAAATATGTACAACTGGTCACATCTCAGATTTCTTGCCAAAATTTGTGACTACTGATGAGGTTAGATAAGCATCTTTATGAAGGGTTATCTGTGCTACTGACATCTTAAGACCTTGCTGTACAACACCTTGGGATATGCACGAGTCAAGCATGGGTCCTTCATGGCAGTTTTGCTTCAAGAAAGCATCACCCTTGCCATGCAGCAGGCTCTTTGTCTACACTCCCTCAAAATCAGCCTTTACAATCTCCAGTGTCCACCTCTTCTATGATAGTTTCTGGGCCTAAAGGGAAGACATTTGATATTGTATAGCTTTAGCAACAGTGCTTTGACTCCATTGGAGGCAGATAGCACAACAATGAAGGCAAAAACAGAACATTAACAACACATGAGTATAATAGTTAAACCAAGAGGCAGCTTCTGTTACGAGGTGCCCCAGGACCCAAACCAGACGCAAAGCCAATCATTCGAAGTGGGGATTTGGTCTGAGAGATTGGTTATTTGTGTTTTTATATCAGTCATTAATTTAGTGATATTATCTGATTCATCAGGAATATAAAGAAAAAGTTGCTTCATAAGCAACATCTGGTTACAGGAATGGCCTAATATAACAACTATGGATGAAAAGAGATAAGAAGGAAATTTAGTGTACTTGCAAAGTAAGATCTTCTCCATCTCTGAACATATTCTGGTTGATTTCGTGTAGAGCAGTTACTAAAGGGACAGCTCTTGGCTTTTATAAAGGGGCCATATACCATATATGTTGCCCAGGAGTTGTCAGCAGTGGTTGTCAAAGTAATTTGGCTGAAAGTATAATATACTAGAGAGCCCACCAACATTCCACTGTCTAGACATGCTCCTCTTGACCGCTTATAGCAGGTGATCATGGGTCCAGTATTCAATAGGCTCAATGGAGATGAGTCTAACTGCTCAGGATGTTTCCCACTCTCTGGCAGGAATAACTTAACCAGTGTGGGGTAGTTACCACGTTAAGCCCTAGTAGGGCATCCCCTTCCCTGGTAGCATGTTTGTTGCTGCCTTCATGCATAAAACACACAGGTTGTCAAACAGGTCCGGGAGCAAAGAAGTTGTCTTAGTTATCCATATGTAAACCATGGTAGGCTTGGAGAAAGGTTGTCCCAACCAATCATATGAGGCAGACATCTCTTTGGCTGACTTAACGAAATAAGGACTGTAGATAAAAGTCATCCACTCGGACAACCGACATCCATTCAGTTTACTTCCCCAGTAAACTGAATCTGTGCTTTCAACAGAACATTTTTCCTTTCAATTAACCATGCTGCTTGAGGGTTATATGGGAAATGAAAGTGTCTTGCTATATTGTGTGGCATAGACATTATGTCCAGCAAAGTGGGTCCCTCAGTCACTGTCAACGCACTGGGGATATCCATACATAGTACTAGAGCCTCTAACCCTTTAATAGTACTGACTTGATAGTTTGCTTAGCAGGAAAATCTTACGGCAGTCTAGTAGCAGTGTCCACATGAGTTAACACATGTTTCCTTCCTTACAGGGAGAGGTCCTATATAATCTAATTGCCAATTGGCTACAGGGAGAACAGCCCTGTAAATGTGTCCTGCTTGATTTGGGCTATACCATGGTCACAATAGAGAACAAGGTAAACCGTTTGCAGCACCTGCTGGGAGGTACTATCTTCTAGCTCAATCCTGCCCCCATGGCTATCTCCTAGCCTACCCTTGCATTTCTATGGCCACTTTTGTTTTGTACCCAGGTCACAAGTTCAGCAACCTGAGCCAGCATGATGCTTCTAATTTTTGTTAAGAGTGTCAGCTTCTATATTTCCTGGAACCGAGTCTTTTTAGCGTGCAACCACATGAATGCAGTTAAATCAGCCGCAGGGTGTTGCAGTTTCTCCCATATGTCTTGCCGCATGTTCATGCCCCATACGGTTTGTGCAAAATCATGCACTTTTTTTGTTCCCATTGAGCTAGCCACATAGTAAGGCCTTTGAATACAGCCCAGCTATTAGTGCAAAGAATCAAGGGCCGGGGCTCCTGTGTGATTATTAACCAGGCAGCTCTCAACTCAGCCCACTGAATATTCTGATGTTCATCTGTTTCATACCAAATTGTACCCATTTGTAGTTGTATAGCAACAGCAGTCCAAATACAGAGGTTTCCCTGCTAGAGTCACCTGTATACCAAACATCACCCTGGATGGGTGGCACTCCTTCTCATACTGTGTCAGTCATTGAGGTAAAAGGAGGTAACAGGATGTCCTTTGGCTGTTCATATGTAACAAGGCCCAATACAGCATGCAGTTCTGGGCTTACAGAACTGGTTGACAGAACACTTCATTGTTGCAAATAGGCATGCCATTTATTCAAGGCACGTATTTGGGCTACAGTGGAGGTGGGTCATTTAAACAATCTTTCTATTCATCTCCTGACTGACAGACCCATTCTCATAGTCATCAAAAGAGTTTTTGTTCACATCCCACCTGCTGTAAAGCATTGTATTGCATCCCACCTGCTGCTAGGCCTTGTTCAGTGGGAGAGTATCTGGTTTCGGCTCCTTTCCATAATTGTGACCAAAGTCCTAAAGAGACTGCTTTACCATAGTGTGACTGCTGCAAGTCCCAACTCACAGTTTCAGGAATAGCAGTAACACTGAAAGTCCTAGCTATACCCTCTAAAGGGCATCTAAGGCCTGTGCCTGCTGTACCAGCACAGGAAGCCTGTTTAAAGCATCCTGTTGAGGTGCTTCTCAGACCCAAGGCACTGCCCTTTCTCTAACAAACACATAGAGTGTTCTCAAACACTGGGAAAGGTGTGGAATGAATGCTCTCCAATAGACCGAAAGACCCATAAATATTTGGATTCCTTTTACCATTTCAAAGTTGGAAATTGTCGGACGTTTTCAATTACTATACCAGGTAGCAAATAAGTCTTACTTGAACACCTAACCCCTAAAAACTTCACTATGAGCCCTGTGCCCTGGATCTTCTATGGGTCAATTGCCCATCCCTATTCCTACAAATGAGCACACAATGCAACAAGACTGCCTGTATTACATTAAAATCTTCAGACATTGACATAATGCTACCAACACAATAAAACCAAGAAAGAAAAGACAGTTTTTTTGTTTTGTTTTGTTTTTTGTTGTTTTCCTTTTGAGATGGCAGATAGGAGCCAGTGCTAGTGTGTCTCTCCTACTTGGAAGGACAGAAAAGTGTCTGGTGATTCACACTGTGAACTTTTGATACAGGAATCACTGCAGGAACTTACCAGAAAAATTGAAAACATCCACAGATTCTTTGAAAGAAGTGATATGCCACAGCAAACTGTGAGACAGGTGAAAAACTGTGAGTTCCCAGAATGCAAGAAGGGGAGAGCCTGCCTTCAAACACATCCCCACTGGGAATCTGAAAATCCAGACATGGGAGAAGGCTTTAACCCTACCTAGAGCTGCAATGGATTTAGGGAGTGGCATGACATATAAAAGTAGACGCAGCAGTGTGAAGAGCCTTATAGGCATTCCCAGTCTCCAGTGTAAGCCCGGGGAAGCTATTCCTAACTATCTCACAGGTGCCCGTGGGGAAGGCACCAAACTCAGGAAAGAGACACAGGGAAGCAAGAAGGGTGTTGCAGATAACAAGCACAGGAACTGGGCACGTGGATTGGCAGGCAGGTATGGAGGGGCAAGGCCTGAAAGCCATGTTTGCTTTCTCAGTGGGGAAGCTTATGGCATGGGGCAGGTCTGAGTTCTACGCACAGGCTGCCTGGAGCTAAACTTGGTGCTGATAGTGGGGCACTGTGGGAGTGAGACTGGCCTCACCAATGGCCTGAAAGCTGGGCGAGGACTTTCACTATTGGCTATCCCCAACTCCTCTTGTGAACTGTACTGCACAGCAGGGGCAGTCATACTCCCCTCTGGAATGTAGCCCCTTTGGATTGAGATCCACCTTCTAATCCCCTGCAATGGCCACAGCCAGCACCATCCAAGGAGAGTCCAAACTCAGACCCACCTCACCCAGCCCCCACTTGGTATTTCTTTACCCACCTTGATAACTTAATACAGAAGACATAAACCCTTGGGAGCTTTATGGCTCCACCCATTGCCTGAAAAAACAGACTACTTTACCTGGCCAACTTAGGGCAAGCTCAAATCCCACTGCTGCTACCAGAGCTGATGCTCTCTTACAAGCACCACCACCTGGCTGAAGGCCAACCAACTCAGGCCATTACAGCAACTCCTGGCAGAATAATCCTACTCCCAGGAAGGAGAAGACAACAGCTAACTCCACTGCCTACAACACTTTGGCTAACCAAAGGTCCTGACAACTTCACTACTGGTAAAACCAGCATTCGAGAAAGCCAGCACATTAGGCCTATCTACAACCAAGGAACTTCACAAAGTCTACATCACTCCCCTGCCACCTCCATCAGAGCAAATGCTGTAATCCACAGCTCAGAGACCTGAAGACTGGTCACATCACTGGATGGTTTGCAGACATTCCCTAGAACCTGGTAGCCCCATTGGGTGACTAGACCCAAAAAAGCAAAACAATCACTGTGGTCCGGCTCTCAGGAAGCCCTATTCCTTGTGGAAAGGGGAGAGTACCACATCAAGGGATTATCCCACCAGGCCTTGAGTCCCAGATCTTTCTTCTGGTGGGAAGTTTCTCACAGCAGAGGCATAATTGCAGTGCTAGGCACAGAGGAAATGTCTGTACTTCTACCCCAACAGGCATGCAGCCTCTGTGAATGTGAAGGGCCTTGGAGAAGAGGTCCTTGTTCCCCCATGGCACTCTACTGCAGACACAGCTGGGGCTCCCCCCACAGAAATACAGCATAGATGCACCTATAGACAGGCTTCAGGGGAAGCAAAGCCTCACAGGAGGCACACTTACCAGATTCAGGCCTGCACAAGAGGCAGAGTCACAATTCCTCCCTACTTGAAACTCAACATTTCCATAGATGAAAAGAGGTGTCTGTCTGATCTGAATCGCCAAAACACTGGGATAGGAGTAAGACTATCAGGTGAGCTGGCAGGGGAGCTGAGGTAGGTCCCACTCTTTACCCTGATAAAACCCAGCACATATAATTGAGCCACATCAAGGCTGGGACCTGGACCCACTGTTGGGTATTACATCTACCCACTTAGCTACAGCTGGTGCCTACGCAGGGATACCTCCTCTATCGACCTGAAGCCTGAATCATCTATATGGTAAACAAAATACTGGAGGACAACTAAATAAAGAAATAAAGTGTACACTAAGAGAGAATGAGATGAGATAAGCATCAAGAGATCCCTGCCATTCCAACTCCATAGGAGACAGTGAACTCACCCACACACAAGAACATAACTGCTATAAGCAGCACTGAGGAAAGCCAGTGCACAAATACTATAACTAAGGGACTCATAGAGAGTCTTCACTCCTACAAGCACCAAGAATCAAATTAGACTGTAATATACATTAAAGTCCAATCCCTAAAAGGAGGGAAAAAATTCTTAACACAGTTCAATCAAAACTAAATTCAAGAACAAATGGAAGAAATCGTTTATCCAAATGAGTAAAAACCAGAAAAGTAATTCTGGTAATATGACAAAACAGGGTTCTGTGATAACTCCAAAAGGTCACACTAGCTCCCCAGCAATGGATCCAAACCAAGAAGAAATCTCTGAATTGCCAGATAAAGAATTCAGAAAGTTGATTTTTAAGCTACTTAAGGAGGTAACAGAGAAAGGTGAAAACCAGCTTAAAGAAATTTTTTGAAAATACATGATACAGATGAAAAATTTTCCAAAGAAATAGATATCATAAAGAAAAAGCATCACAGCTTCTGGAAATAAAAGACACACTTAGAGAATTACAAAATGCACTGGAAAGTTTCAACAATAGACTAGACTAAGTAAAAAAAAGAACTTCAAAGCTCAAAGAAAAGGCTTTTTAATTAACCCAATCAGACAAAGACAAAGAAAAAAATGAATTTAAAAAAATGAATAAAGTCTCCAAGAAATATAGCCAAAATGGCCACAAATAAGAATAATTGGTGTTCCTTAGGAAGAAGAGAAATCTAAAATTTGGAAAACTTATTTGAGAGAATAATCAAGAAAAACTTCCCTGGCCTTGCTAGAGATCTAGACATCCAAATACAAGAAGCTTAAAGAACTCCAAAAAAATTCATTGCAAAAAGATTATTACCAAGGCACATAGTCTTCAGGTTATCTAAAGTCAGGACAAAGAAAAGAATCTTAAGAGCTATAAGAAAAAAAGATCAAGTAACCAATAAAAGAAAACCTATCAGATTAACAGCAGATTTCTCAGGAGAAAACTTACAAGCCAGAAGGGATTTGGGTTGTATCTTTAGCCACCTTAAACAAAATAATTGTCAGCTAAGAATTTCATATTCAGGAAAACTAAGACTCATAAATGAAGGAGAGATAAAGTCTTTTTCAGACAAACAAATGCTGAGAGAATTTGTCATTACCAAACTATAAGAAATCCTAACTGGGGTTCTAAATCTTGAAACAAAACCTTAAACTACACCAAAATAGAACCTCCTTAAATCATAAATCTCACAGGGCCTATAACACAATGAAAAAAGCAAGGTATTTAGGGAACAATTAACATGATAAATAGAACAGTACCTTA